TGTAAACAAATTAATATAATATTATTTTTTAAAACTAATTAAATAAATAAAGGGATTTGCATATGCTCATAAAGACAATCCTAGTACTATCATAGCAAATGAAATTTGGAACGGATTTTTAGGAAATTTTAAAACGCAACGGTCATATAATACGATGATTCCTACGACAAAGTAGAATCGTGGGTTTTCCCACATTAGCAAAATTACCAAAAAAACCTTATCCAACCTCAACATCATCAAATTTACTCAAATGGTTTAAATTACATTTATTGGAAAAACCATAAAAACCCATTGGGACCTTTTGGATTTTGATAAGCAAGTTGTAGTTGTACTCACGGTAGAAAAATTTAATTTTTGAATTTTATGTAAATGATTGAAATTCTTTTTGAATTATTATTTTTTTTCTCTCTTTGTAAAGGTTCCTGCAGAATTTGATGATAATGCGATTGACATTATGCGTAAATGTGCTTATAATGCGAAATTGATTCCAACAGAAAATAGTAAAATTTGAAATTTGTAAGTTTAACTTAAATTTAAATTTTGAATGGTTTAAAATATAATTCGGGCAAAAAAAAAATCGGCTTGCTTTATAAGCATATTATTGGTTAAATATCACGTGAACGCAAAATTTGATAAGAGCGTCAATCAATTGTAAATCGATCCCATTGTAATTCAAAGTTCTTACAAATTTTTATTTAATTTAAAGCTGAAGCTGCAGCGATTCATTACATGGACAACCTAAAAAAAGAACATAATTGGTCCAGGAGGACGCATGCATGACTTTTCTTTATTTATTATGTTAGAATTCCTTTAAGCAAAAAAAAATAATTCGATGAAATTTCTTTATTGATTTTTTATAATTAGACTTGTTAACGATGGTTGATTGTGGCGGTGGCACAGTAGAATTAGCAACGCGAGATGACGAATTTAAATGAAATAACAGTTCGTACTGCGATGATTGTGGTTCATATAAAAATAGACCAGGCATTTATTGAATTACTTGGTCATAAAATTGGAAAAACTGCCATGGATCTGTTTGAGGAAGATTATAACTCTTATCTACAATATATGGTACAAGAATTTTGTAGGCAAGCTAAACTTCGATTTACGGAAAATCCAGAAGATTTTATAACTTTATAATTATATTTAGAGGAATATAAACCACTAATAAAATATATTAAAGGAGAAGAAGAAGAGAAATTAAAAAAAGATGATTGGTTAATCGAAATTAAATATGACAATGTCAAAAAAATAGTTGAACCTGCCTGTTGTAAATGAGATTTTTAAATTAATAAGGGGTCAAATGGAACAATTGAAAAGGTTTGAAAAAAAAATTTCAATATTGTTGCTAGTGGGTGGATTTGGTGAATCCAAATACTTACAAAATAGAATTAAACAAGAATTTTCGAAAGAAGAAGTGGCAAATGTTTTTTGTGGATAAACAACCTATTGTATCTATTATGAAAGGAGGTAAATAAGATTTATTAATTTTATTTCGCTTTCGCAATACAATATTAATTTTTATTTAATTTAAAAAAAATAATAAGCTGTTAAATATGGTCTTACAAGAATCATTAAGAAACGAATATTGAAATGGGATTATGGTATTTGATTTAACTATACCGGTTAAACTCGTTTTAACTTTTTGAAAGAAATTATTTAAAATCTTTCTTTTGTTTTTGCTTTAGGTACTATCGCAGTAAGAAAATGGAAACCGACTGATCCATTGGAATTAAAACTTCCAAAGGCTATATAAAAGTTTTTGAAAAACTTGCGGAGAGTGACAAACTAGTTCTAATGGGTGACGAAGTTACCAGGTGTTTGAAACCATATTATTAAGTCAACAAAAAATGAATATTGATATGTATACTACAGTGTCAGACGATGCAAAATATTTACGAGATGTAAAGCTACTTCGAAAATGGGAAGTTAATTTGACTGAGTTAGATAATTATGAAGATGATAATACAATTAAATTCACTTTAAAATTTGATGTGGAAATGTCCGCTACTGCTAAAAATAAGGAAGGAATTGAAAAGCGTGTTACTTATAAATATTAGAAATTTGGTGATATGGAATATCTGCTATTATTAATTAAATAAATGAGGATGTAACATTGTAAGTCTCTGTATATGTAAATTATCGTAAAGAAACAATAAAATAATTTATATTTATACAATCTTTCGAAAAAATAAGAGCCTCACTTTTTTGATATTCTTTTTTAATTTTTTGACGCATAAGTTCAAGTCATTAATTATATACAAAGATGTCTTTATAATATCCAGATCGATCACACAAAAAATCATATTAGTCAGATACCGTCAATCTTATGACCGAAAAATTACGTAATCATTACATGTATTTTTCGCGTTCCGATAAATTATTTTTTTTTTACTAATTTTTCAAAGTATCTGTCGTATTTCGTCATTTCATCACAACAAACCACAAGAGTCTGTTAAGAGTCTATTTTATTATATATCACAATGTATTCAGAACGTATATATATACCTCAAATCTCTCTCAAAAGCTCTCTTAAACAATTCCTACCTTCTAACATTATAATGCAAAATACACTACAAACCCCAAAAAATTTGAAGAAGCCATATTTTAAATTAGAAACTAATCTTTTCTTTATCCTTCTAACCTTGTTCAGGCTTCTGAACTTCTTTTGAATTGTTTAAGTCCCAAGTTAAAGCAGTTATTTCGTTTGTTAATTACCTTATCAGAAGAAAAAAGCAAGTTTTAAACTTTGCCTGGATCCCTCATTATGGTTCGATGTTTATCTTCAAACATTACCCGATTTTGCTGAAGCGGTTAACATTGCAAGACAATATGTTACAACCACACGCTTAAACATTTCACCCGAGGAAGAAGCTCCGTTTATTATCGATTATAATGAGACAGAAAAAGACAAAGCATTTATTATTTGTCCATACGATTTTACTTGTAGTAATGGTCGAATTGTGGTGAGTATAAATGTAAAAAAAAAATTGTTTACCAATAATCTGAACCTCACAACTTAATTTTGATTTATAGAGAAAGATCATCCTAAAATATATTGTGATGGTAAAGTCATAACTCGAGATGGAAGAACATCTATATTTTACTACAAAATTTGTTATAGATGAACTTAGCAATGATAAGTATGTTGTAACGTTACGAAGGGAACCATTTAGAGATTCCAAGTCCTAATTTTTGAGCAAAGAACTGTGAACATTATAATAATGAAACCTTGGTACAACAAGAGACATTTTGGAAAGAGTTGTTAAGTAAATAACACACTTTAAACTTTCATTTCATAGCAATTAACTATAGAGCATGGGAAACTGGATAATCACAAAATAAATATGCACAAGAGTGCCACGCGTATGTTCACTTGTATTTTAATTCAAATACATGGGTTCAAGTGAAGAAAAATATATGGAAAGCAGTAATTTTATTGAAACTTGATGCTAGAGATTATCCTGGACCAAATTATTTACTACAGGATTGTGTTGGAAAAAAGGTTGCAATCAGCAGAACACCAACTTATGCTGAAGGCAATTTCTAATATAACATCAACTATGAATGAAAATACTAATCATGACCTAACTGTATCCACCAATAATGGATTTGTTCTTTATTAATAAATAATGGTAAATACAAATCTTCATTATTAATATGTCGTGTCTTACCTCCTATTTGCGTAAGAGAGGTAATTTATTAAATATTATATAGTTTAGTATATACAAAAACAATGTAATGAAATAGCATGTAAATCGATTTTAGCGAATAAAATAATAAAGTTTTTATTAAAGAAAATAAAGAAAATAGTTTTATTATATATGATAAAAGAATACAAATAAATACACAATTACTACCTCTGCCAGCGCTCTGTAATTGACCCAAAGAGAAAAGAACTATATAAAACAAAATCCTATCGTCAACCAAAAGTGAAACGAAGCTCTTTTATATTATAAATTCCTTTCCATGGCTTTGCTACAGCATTCTCTAGAACTTGCAGCTTGGATGATGGATGGAATTACCAATTATTTGATCCCTGATGTCAAAAATGGTCATTTTGACATACCAAGGGATCTGTATTGTCGAAATGAGATCTGTCAGAATTGACTTATATTAATCATTATAGCAGATGATTTAATTTTGGCGCAGTCAAAACCCGAGGGTAATGCATGCATAAATTTCTCTTAGAAGGAGATCTAAATTGCTTTTATAATCTTTTATATTTAATAGTATCCATTGGCTTAGTATGCAAATCCTTATGATTAGGGAGGAGGAAAACCAGTACAGTACGGTACGATTTTGCAGATTAGTACGAATTTTCAAATTATAATCATACTGTACTGGTTCTATAATATTATTGAGACCAGTACGGTACGATCAAAATTTGGAAAAGTATCATACCGTATCATACTGGTCCTATAATAGAAAGCATTTATATATAGGACCAGTACGGTATGGTATGATACTTTTTATTAACTGACCGTACCAGTTTTCTATATACCCCGATTTTCCTATATATACCCTATGTTAATGATCTCAATGATATTAATAATGATTGATGTTGCATTCGTCAAAGAGTTCTTAATAAAAAAAAAGTTTTTTTTCAAAAAAAAAAAAATTCCCTTAATAAAAATTAAATAAATCGGGGGAGGAAAATCAGTACGAATCGTCTGATCAGTACAATACAAAATATGATTGTACCGTACTGGTCCAATAATATTATAGAATCAGTACGGTACGATTATAATTTGAAAATTCGTACTAATCTGCAAAATCGTACTGTACTGATCAGCCGAACCGTACCGTACTGGTTTTCCCTATACTCCTTATGATTTTAGAGTTACTTCAGCTATATGCATTATTTCATTTACTGAAATTTTTAGAACACCACACCATCACTCCTATGAAAATAATCCCATACAGTTTTTGTGTAGTTTTCATGCCAAAAAAACAATACAATTTTCGGACAATGCAGGGTGCCAAAACATGAAATAACCCTAGTACCAGTACAGTCAAATTTTTAGCATATTTTTCCTACAACATCTGAATTAGGAAAATCAACTGTACTAATCGATATAGTTTTTGTATGATTATTTTCTAGCTTAAATTTATTATCATAGATAGT